TGATTCTACCTCAGCAATTATCTCATCCACTGGAATTGTGTGTGGGGTAACGGCAAAGTTAAGGCCTTTAGAAAGGACAGAGATCATGTCACTAGTTAAAACAGTGTTAGTCAAATTTCGATTTAAAGCTTTCGTGACTGCAAGGATTCACCTTCTTTGGTTCTTTCGATAAAGTCACGTAGAATGAGAATAAAATAATAATAATTTTATTTTATCAATTTATTATTTTATTCTCATTCTGCGTGACTTTACCGAAAGAACCAAAGAAGTGTTAATCAAGTTCATTACGGTTTTGTTTTTAAATTGTTCGTTTTTAGTAGGGATTTGTTTATTATAAAGTCTAGAAAATGTATTCATTTGGTTAGTTTTTGTTAGATTAAACACATTATCAGCCGATTGTTGTGTTATGGTATCTATTATATTCCAATAATGCATGGATACACTATTGCTTATATCTAAGTGTAACTGCTTTAGCGATTCCGAAATGTAAGATAATTCACTCCTGTTGTGCTGTATTCTCTCTATTAATAATAATTCGCTAGCTTTGTGTAGTATTTGGTTAGCTTTAGAATACTTTGTGATGTGTTATTTTAACAGCGTTTGGTATTACCTTTGAATCTCTGCACCTTTTGAGGAACGCCAGGGAAGATATCAATTTCATCCGCTTAATGCGGAGGTTCTCCAACTTTCTGGTTTTAAGAAAAGTATCCTCCCCATAGAGGTTAGTCAGTTTAACACGTAGGCTCTCGCGACCAATATTATTCATATTTTAGGTCTTCGGGTTAGATCGCGTTATTTATAACGTTGAAGTATTGTGTAAAACTAATTATTACTGGCATTGACTAATTAGAGAATCCATTGAAATTGAGAGAAATAGAAATAACTTTAATCGCTCTGATAGCTATAGGCTTAGTGCGGTTTGGAAGCGTATTATTAAATAATACATATTACAATTCCGTATAGGGGAAACACATACTAATTAACAGATTATTAACGTAGCATATAATCACAATAACACACATTACAACTAATTACTAATCTACAACTCATTGCTAATCATAACCATTGACTGATCACAAATCGATTATATAATTACTGCACCTGAATGAGTTAAATGATGACGTCACCCTGCTGCTCTATTTAAGACTGGGAGCAAGTGAGGGCTTTACCATTCTGGCGAATTGCCCGATGATGCTGGATGTAATTACCAGCGAAACGTCGTATTCAAACTGTAAATGTTGTGGATTCACTCTTCAACACACCGTTGGGCTAAAGTAGTGAACTAATTGTCTTTTGTCAATGTGACACTTTTTTGCTGATTGGCCGTGTCGGGTGGTGGAGGATTACGAAACATTTATAAATAACACGATCTAACCCAAAAACCTTTATTATTAATAATATTGGTCGCGAAAGCCTACGTGTTAAACTGAAAACAACTAAATTAAATCACGACGTTTTGGAGGCAACACAAGCTTCCGTCTTCAGGTGTAACAGCCACATAAAAAAACTGTATCAAGTGAGGAGCTCTGAGACACCTGAGATTATATAGAGGTTAAAGGGAGGGGGGGAGGGGGGAGGAGCCAGAACCACAGATCACAAACTGAATGTTAACAAAATCGTTATTAATCAGAGTAACATCCCGATTTCGGACAATCTGAAAACGGTATTGGCTAAAGGGCTAAATTTTGCTGTCAACCCTAAACATATACCAGTAGAGGATATCATCTCTTAGGTCGATGTAGCCCTCAAAGGCATAGGACCCATCCAAGCGGACGTTGCGAGAGTTGAAATAGCCACTTTTCTCAAGAATGCTAAGAAACCCATTAGAAACATTAGCAAAAACGAACGCTCTGAACTCGCGAATTTAAAAAAGAGCGATGATATAGCCATCCTCTCGGCCGACAAGGGCAATGCCACTGTCATTATGGATAAAAACTCGTACAACAACAAAATCCAGGACCTACTCAATGATGGGAGTTACTCAAAAATTAAAAGTGATCCTACTAACAGCCTAACGATAAAAACCAACAAGATCATCACTAGTTCGACTTCCCTAATCGAACCAACCAAACGTCCCTCCCTAAAACCCTCAGCTGCAAGACCTCCCAGACTCTATGGTCTTCCCAAGATCCATAAAGAAGGTACCCCACTACGATCCATCGTGTCCACGATTAACTCCCCTACCTACAAGCTAGCCCGTTTTTTATCGGATACTCTGCTTCCCTTCACTGGCAAGACCACCTTAGCAGTACATAACTCAACCCAATTGGTTTCTATGGCCAAGGACATTGTACTATCTCCTGATGATATCCTCGTCAGCTTTGACGTGGTCTCTCTGTTCACCAAGGTCCCAGTACCTGATACCATAACAATAATTGAAGATTTGGTCCAACATGGACTGAACCCTGATGTACCTGCACTGGTTAGGCACTGCCTCACCAATACTTACTTTACCTGTAATGGTACCTTCTACAAAACAAAATGAGGGTACCCCTATGGGTCCCCCCTTGTCACCAGTGATAGCCAATGTTTTCATGGAGAAATTTGAATCAGACGCCATCCAGACATCCACCCTTCGTCCTTCCCTGTGGAAGAAATATGTGGATGACACTTTCGTCATTTGGCCACATGGCCTCCCAGCTTTGAACCATTTTCTAGACCACATCAATTCCAGACACCCATCCAGACACCCATCCACCATGGAAGTGGAGAAAGATGGCAAGCTGCCATTCTTGGATATTCTGTTTGAGAGGAGGACTGATGGCTCTTTTGGACATTCTGTTTACAGGAAGTCCACCCACACAGATTCCTACTTGAAGCCTGATTCCCACCACCAACCGGCTCAAAAGAATTATCTCATCAAAACATTATACCACAGAGCTCATTGCATTTCTGACCAATACCACCTGGCCAGTGAATTAAAACATGTACACCTGGCCCTCAAGATGAACGGTTACTCTGACCATACTATCTGCCAAGCTGTTTCTCCCACCATACAGAAACAACCACCTGATACTCCAATCAAAATCATCACACTGCCATACATGGCAGGCGTTACCAAAAATATTTCCAAAATTCTAAACAAACACAAGATCCAGGTCCGGTTCAATACTGTACACAAAATCCGTAATCTGATCCAATCCGTAAAAAATGTCATTCCTGACTTACAGTACCCCGGTGTTTACAAATTGAGTTATACCTGCGGTGATTGCTATATCGGGGAGACGAAACGACATGTTTCTGACCGAATTCGCGAGCACAAATCAGATTTGAAACACGGCAGAACGAATTCTTCGGCCGTGGCTGATCATTGTTTCAACACAGCGGGTTCTCATGACATTGTCTTCTCCGATGCCAAAGTGCTCTGCAAACCTTCCGGTTATTACCAAAGATTTGTCCATGAAGCCATCCATATATACAAACATAGACACAACTTCAACCGAGAATATGGTTTTAAATTGAGCAACCATTGGAAAGATGTCATAAACCAAGTCAAACTTTAGCTGCCTTATAATGGTACAACCTTTCCATTTAGCTCGCGCAGTGAACCTCCGCATCTCCCGAACCCCCTGCAGCATAACAAAAGGCGGCTTAACTTAGCCCTCCCCCCCCACTCACGTCCCTGCCTGGCTCCTCCCCCCCCCCCCTTAACCTGTATATAATCTCGGGTGTCTCAGAGCTCCTCACTTGATACAGCTATTTTGCTGTGACTGTTCCACCTGAAGACGGAAGCTTGTGTTGCCTCCGAAACGCCGTGATTTAATTTAGTTGTTTTCATTTATTTTATTTTACCTACGTGACTTTACCGAAAAAACCAAAGAGTACCCACAATCCTGTTTTGTATTTTCAAATCGAGGCTTTTGTTTCTGTACGAGTAACCGGCAGCGGCTTTGTACACTTTCTGTCGGCTTGAGCGGCATCTTTCATGCGAGGCGAATAACTGGGTTCGCTGATGATGATGCTGATGAGAATTGCGCGCGTGTGTGTATATATATTGTTTGTTTTCGGTTGGGTTTTTTTTCCCCCCCAACGTGCTATGGACGTCACGAAACGAAGCAAATCATCTATTTGGAAACCCCCGTGCGTCCGAGAAGGGCCGCGCGAGAGACGACATCACGACGACGCCGCTACGACGTTGCGACGACATCGCCGCGACGTTGCCACGACGTCGCCACGACGTTGCGACGACATAGCAACGACGTCACGGCGTTGCGACGACGTTGCTTCGACGTTGTCGCGATGTTGCGATGACATCGCGACGACGCTGCTACGACGTCACGACGTTGCGACGACGTTGCTGCGACGTCACGACGTTGCGACGACATCGCCGCGACGTTGCCACGACGTCGCCACGACGTTGCGACGACATAGCAACGACGTCACGGCGTTGCGACGACGTTGCTTCGACGTTGTCGCGATGTTGCGATGACATCGCGACGACGCTGCTACGACGTCACGACGTTGCGACGACGTTGCTGCGACGTCACGACGTTGCGACGACATCGCCGCGACGTTGCCACGACGTCGCCACGACGTTGCGACGACATAGCAACGACGTCACGGCGTTGCGACGACGTTGCTTCGACGTTGTCGCGATGTTGCGATGACATCGCGACGACACTGCTACGACGTCACGACGTTGCGACGACGTTGCTGCGACGTCACGACGTTGCGACGACGTTGCTGCGACGTCACGACGTTGCGACGACGCTGCTACGACGTCACGACGTTGCGACGACGTTGCTGCGACGTCACGACGTTGCGACGACGCTGCTACGACGTCACGACGTTGCCACGACGTTGCTGCGACGTCACGACGTTGCCACGACGCTGCTGCGACGTCACGACGTTGCGACGACGCTGCTGCGACGTCACGACGTTGCGACGACGCTGCTACGACGTAGCGACGACGTTGGCGACGACGTTGCAACGACATTGCCACGACGTTGCCACGACGTTGCCACGGCCTTGTGACGAGGTTTCTCATGTTGCCGCTGCAGTGGTGACGTCGACGTCGTTGCGGGAGTACGTCGTGGACTACGGCAGCGGCCGCACCGAGACGTTCAGGCAGACGTGGAAGCAGAACATCACCTACCAGGTGCTGTTCTCTCCTCTCCCTCTCCTCTACATCATCATCATCATCGTCGTCGTCATCGTCATTGTTGGCATTGTCCTTATCGGCGGCGTCGTCGTCATTCTAATCATCATTGTGGTCATCGTCATCGCGATCACCATCATCATACTCGTCAGCGTCATCAACATTGTCATCTTGGTCGTTATCGTCATCGTAATCGTCATAGGTCATCATCCTCATCATTACCATCATCATCCTCATCATCATCGTCGTCTTTTCCTTCATGATGGCTGTGTCTTCATGATTGATATCACCATTGTCATCCTTATTACCGTAATAATCACCGTAATCCTCAGCAGCGTCATCATCATTGTCATCTTCGTCATCCTCATCATTACAATCATCCTCATCACCACCGTCGTCGTGGCGATAGCGGCCTTCGCATCGGTGTCCTCCGCGTTGAGGCTCACCACGCCAACATCCCCACCACTCCCAGCGCCCCCGTTACCCCCCCCCCAACTCCCGTGTCACCCCCTCCCTTGGGTATCCCCACAACGAGCATCGCTTCTTCGCTACACCCCACCAACTCCTCCCCCCCCTCCCCCCCCCACCCACAGAGTTGCCCGCACGATGACGGGGAGGGCGGTGTCCAGGTGCCACACACGCAGAGGCTGAGCGTCGGGCGAATCTTCACTCTGTACGACGCCAGCGGCCTCATCCTGCGCTACGCCACCACCAACAAGATCGGCTCCATCACCGGTGAGAGGGAGAGCGAGCGGGCGGGCGAGGGAGGACATCGAGAGAGGAGATGAGAGAGGAGGAGAGGAGAGAGATGACACACAATCAGCCACCTCCGCCACGTGAACGCAGGGGGCCCCCCGTTCACTTTGACTTACACTGCGGAAGTGAAACCTTTTTTGCGAGCGGCCGGCCAGTTTCAGATCGGACGGTGGGTTTGCTTTGCTTGTCCGTTCGTTTGAGGTATTGCGACGGGCAAGTGAATGAATTGGGTTTGTTTGCATCAAGGTGGGGTGAGGGACGGGGTGGGGTTGTCGCTCCACCATACTTCACCACGCTGGTTCAGTGTGAGTTTGCGAAGGAGGGGGGCCGAGCCAGGGAGGGCCAGGGATTGGTTCAGATATTGCTCATCGCTGACGTTGGCCCTGGTCAATGATAGAAGGTGAGCAGCACGGTGCGCAAACATAATTCGTCTTCATCGTCATAAGCATCAGCTGCCATGGTCTATCCCACAAGCCATCGCCACCATCTGACGCTCGCACTCGGCTTGGACCGACGGGCGCCGCTCTCGCACGGCAGAGCTCACTGAAGAGTGATCTCGGAGGTAGCTCTACGACATCCGCTTCGGCCGTCCTGTAAGACGACGCAGGCGGAGATGCAACGCTCTGCGAGAGACGCGTGATGACAACTCGACGTCGATGGCAATTTATTAGGGGGCGGGGGGCGGGGGCAAAGCAGTGTGGGGGGGATTTACCAACTATGTATCGTGAACATCTATAAGGTACAGCGACACGCAGACAGAATCACAGTCGCAGAATCTTTACTTAGACTGGAGGAGGAATCCGATGAGCTACGAAGCTCTTTTTGACAGATGTCCATTAGGGGGGATGTCAGCAGGTTACATGGGGGTGGGGGGGGGGGGGGGGGGGAGGAGGTGGCGGGGGAGTGGAGGACGGACTAGGCAATAAATCAAAACAATCTTCCAGCTCAGCGAGGGCATTTGCCCCGGGGTCAGAGGTCACCGTCGTCACAATGAGGCCCTGTCAACACGATTCTGCCGGTTGCATTGCGTGGCAAAAATAATAATAATAATAAGAATAATCTCTCCTCCCTCCCCCCTTTGCCCTCCTCCACCCCGCCCCCTCCCCCGTAACTAAACAATAAATAAATAACTCGAATACGAATCCCAGCTCCACTTTTTAAAATGCCAGCGGAATTTTTAGTTGTTGTTTTTACATCGATGTCTGCCCGGTCCCTCTGCGGCTGAAACCCCGGGGGGGGGAGGTGGAAAGAGAGCAAGATATATTTATATATTTAATATTTATTCCTTCAAGTTCTGTTTTCATTGTCAGCGTGTCTGTATGCGCGCGTGTGTGTGTGCGCGTGTGTGTGTGTGCGCGTGTGTGTGTGTGCGCGTGTGTGTGTGTACATGTGTGTGTGTGTGTGTGCGGGGAGCGATAGTGTAGCGGTTAGCGCGCTGCGCTATGAACCTGGCGACCCGGGTTCGATTCCCGCTCACGGCCAACACCAGTGACGATTATCTGAACCGGTCCCGGGCCTCCCCTAGGTCGGCTCGGCCTCAATTGAGTACGGGGCGCGGCGTGCAAACGTCAGCAAGTGGGGAGACAAAGGCGGCCGGGCGTGGCGTTGGCCAAGCCACGCCCCTCGTGCGGCGTGCCGGCCTTCATAGGTGCTCCCCGCGAACAGCACTCGCCCCAACAGTCTGTTAGAGGCTGTACGGGGGGGGGGGGGGGGGGGGTTGAGCTCCATGTTTGTTGAAGCCCATCGATTGGGGGTAACAATGCACAAGCACCTGGCTTGTGTTATTATTCTCAATCTGCGTGTTCGATTGCCTGTCCCACTTGTGTCCGGCGTGAGTGCGCGTGTTTCTGCGTGTCTCTGTGGTTGTTACTGCGCGCACGCATGCGGACACGCGTGCGTCTCTGGGCGAGCGGTTAGCACGCCGTGCGTCGAACCGGGCGACCCCCCACCCCCACCCCCTCCGTTCCTGAGCCCCGCCTAGGTCGACTCGGCCTCGAATGAGCACCTGGTGCCACGTGTTTTATTTTTTAAACATCGGCAAAAAAGAACCCATCGGGAGACAAAGGCGGCCTGAGCCGTCTGCCCACCTCCTCGTGAGCCACCGTGCCGCTCGCTCACCGCCCTTGCCCCTGTCGAGCGGCCGTGGCAGCGTTCAGTGCGGTGCGCCGCCGGTCAAAACGTTCCGTCTCGCCGCACACGTTGATCGCGGTCGACGGACTTTTTGGTCAACTCAGCTTGAAATGATTTCCTGGCTCAGTGACAGAGAATTAAGAATGAGCCAGCAGTGATCTCCTCCCTCTCCTCCATAATTCCCCTCCCTCCGTCTCTCCCCCCCCTCGCATCCCTCCCCTACACCCCCTCCATCTCTCCCCACCATCCATCCTCCCCTCCCTCCCTCTCCTCCATACTTCCCCTCCCTCCCTCCCTCTTTCCACCCATTCCTCCCATGCCTTTCTCCTCCCTCACCTCTCCCCCTCCCTCCCTCTCCTCCCTCCCACCCTCTCACGTCCCACCCATGAGTTGACTCTCATGCAAAGGCGCTCAATGTAAACACCTTGCCCGAGAGTTGATGGTTGCTGGCTGTAAAGAGCACTGCGCGAGTGGCGAATATTTGAAGCCGGTGCTGGGCTTCCCCGAGGTGGACTCTGCCTTTAACGAGTACCCGATGCAGTTTATGAACATCAGCACTGGGGCGGCTATAAGAGGTACACTAAACAATTTTTATTTTATTTTACTAGGTAAGGCTCCACTGAGCTATGCGCAGCTCTTTGCCAGAAGCGACCTGGCCACAAATGATAGCTCAACGTGGAAATGTATCGGAGCAGCCGAATTCTCTAAACGCGTGCTCATTAATAAATGTGGAGACAAATCCAAGCGGCCACGGCGAGAGAAAGACATGCGGACTCCAAATTTACAAGCGAACCCACGACCTCCTGTATACCGGGCGAGGTAGTCAACATCTCTCTCCACCGTGGCAAAGGTGACCGAGCGTGTTTTTATTTTCGATTCCCGGCCGCACCATCCCCTACGTGTGCCGCGTTGCGAGCAGCCCCTCCCGTCGCAGGCGCTGCTTACTGGCCAGCACCACTTTGCCCCCCCTCCTCCCCCCACCGCGGTCTCTCTATGGCTGCGTTCGTGACGTTGGGACGGGCTGGGTCTGGTGTGGAACCTTTGTCCGTGTAGACGAGGCGGACCAAAGCGCCTGCTACGACGGCACTCACGACTGCGACAACAACGCGCAGTGCCGGCCGGGTCGGGGCGCCGACTTCACCTGCGAATGCGCCGCGGGCTTCACGGGAGACGGCCGCGTTTGCTACGGTGAGGCCCACCCCCTCCACCCCCCTCCACCCCCCCTCCCCCCACCACCCCCCCTCCCTCCATCCCCTCCACCCCCCTCCACCCCCCTCCCCCCCTCCACCCACCCCCCCTGACTCCCCCCCTAGCCCCACCCCCAGCATCGCCCCTGCCCCGCCGCTAGCCCCAGCCCCGTTAACTACCTCGCCTGGTATGCAGGAGGTCGTGGGTTCGATCCCGACCCTGACGCCCGCCGCCGCTGCTGCTGCTGCTGCGTATTTTGGAGTTTCCGTGTCTCTCTCCCCGTGGCCGCGTGAATATTTCACCCCCTCGTGCGCCGTGCCGGCCTTCGTAGGCGCTGCTCGCTAACAGCACTTGCCCCAAGCAGTCTGTTAAGGCCACGCGGGGGGGTCTTTGTCTCTGTCTCGTGTGCTAGACCAGGACGAGTGCGCGGAGTACCCGGGCGGCCGCTGCGGTCCCCACGCTCGCTGCGTCAACCTCCCCGGCACCTTCCGCTGCGAGTGTGACGAGGGTCACGTGTTCTCGGACGACGGCCGCTCCTGCGTCCGTGAGTCACCGCACCCACCCCACCTCCTCTCCCCCCTTGCCCCGCGACGAGGTGGATCGCCCCGCCCCCCGGACGCTGACTACGCCACTTAGCCCGCGACGAGGTGGACGGCTGGGGAGAGGGGGGGGCAGCTAAACCGCAGACGCACCAGCGGCCACGACGAGAGGGTGCCACAACCCTAAGCTCACCCCGTCGCCCGTGACGAGGAGGAGAGTGGGGGCAACTTAACCCTCGCGAGCACCTCTGAAGTCCGGCACGGCACACGAGGTGGTGGGTGGCCAGCACCGCACGCACCCGGCCGCCTTTGTCTCCCAAGTGGCGATGTTTACACACCGCATCAGCTACTCATTCTGAGGCTGAGCCGACCTAGGGGAGGCCCAGCACCGATTCAGACAAAACCGTCACTGGTGCCGGTGGCCGTGAGCTGGAATCGAATTCGGGTCGCCGGGTTCGCAAGCGCCCCCGGAGGGCGTCCTGGGCAGAGATGGAGCCGTCCCCTTCATCCAGCAGTGGATAGCTCATGGCTGCTGCTGCTGCTGCTGGTGCCGCCGATAAGTGAGGATTGACGGTGTCAGAGCCTCGGCCGAGAGGTTTACGTTGGGACGACGCGGCCTTGAGACATGAGAGATCCGCCCGTAAGTAAAGCTGACGGTCAATGGCCTTAGACATGATTTGTTCCGGAAATTCAACACAGACGCTGTTTTTGTTTATCTATCATCAGCCAGGCCTGTGACCAGCCCTCCCCCTCGCCGCCTCCAGTGACAAATGCATGCGTTCTAGGGATCACGACCCATCTGTTGAAGAACGATGGTCTTTCTCCCCCTGCTCATCCGTCTTTGTTCCTATCGCTGTGTGCGCATCTACTCGTCTGAGAGCACGCGTGCTTAGCGATCCTGCCGTGGGGTCAAACGCGTGCCGGCTTAGGGTCGAACGGGGCACGTGGTACAGCTGGAAGCCGCCCGCCCGCCCTCCACACACACACGTACACATTCCAAACTGCAGGACACTATGCTACACAGCACTACACACACACACTCCACACTGCAGAACACCACACTGCAATGCACACACTCCACGCTGCAGGACACTATGCTACACTGCACTGCAGCACAACAACAACCGCCATTCGCCACTAAGTGGCGGTGACGTCACCACGACTCTTATGCCAGGACATGTGCACCTTGAGGCCACGTGGAGTGTCGAACGCCCGCTGGCAGGAGGTCACGGGGCAGACCCAGGTGCCACGGGTCGACTGACTGAGATGACTGGCTGATGCACCACCTGTGCCCCCTACTGTGCCAACCCTCCTGTGCTTTAGCCACCCAGCGCTTCGCTTGTTGTTGTGAGCGTCGCTCCTCCGCCCTCCATTGTTGTTGGAGGGCGACTACCTCCAACTGCCCAGTAGCGTCCTTCACGAGCCTCCTCCACAGAGGCCGATCTTGACACCGCTGGTACCAGTCATCGGCAAGTCCACTCAGCTCCACGTCCTCCTGTACCACATCACTCCATCTCTTCTCTAGCCCGTGCCGCGCCCGTTTAGCCCCCTCAATCTGGCCGAACAAAAGCTGTTTTGGCATGCGGTGGCTGGGCATGCGGGCTACATGACCCAGCCATCGCAGCCTTGCCCGCCGGAGGAGCTCACCGATGGGACCTTGCCCAGATCTTTCAAGGGTTTGTGAGCTCACACAATCCAGTCTGGTTAAACCCAGGATGGATCGTAGGCAGGCCAGCCTAAATGTTTCTAACCGGCGAAGATGTTCCATTAGGGGGGTCCACGTTTCGCAAGCATAGAGAAGGGAGGGAATGACCATGGCCGAGAAGACCTGAAGCTTAGTGCGGAGCGACAGACCAGGTAGCTTCCACACAGCGTTACGCAACCGATGAAAATATATTGCCGCTCGACTGATTCGGAGTGAGACCTCTGCTGTTAAACTGGAGCCGGTCATAAGCACACTTCCCAGGTATGGGAAACTCTCCACTCTCTTCACAACTGCCCCATCACCGATTGGGAGTTGTGGGGGTGGAGTGTCCGATGGTACAAAATACCCAGGCAGGTGCTTAGTTTTGGTGGGGCTGATGGTAAGGCCCCATCTCTTAGTGGCACGCTCCAGTTTCAGCAGCAGCGTCTCTAACTCCCCCTCTGAATGAGCAGCTATTACCAAATCATCAGCATACATAACGTGGTTGAGCAATAAGGAGCCATCCCTTGACTGCACCCGGGCATCGATCAGCCTCCCATTATATCTGTACCATATGGAGATTCCCCCGGTACAGCTATTGAAGGCTTCACGAACTACGTGGTCGAAATAGATGTTAAATAATGTGGGAGCCAGAGGACATCCCTCTCGCACCCCAAGGTGTACACAGAAAAGCTCGGACTCCCGGCCACATAGTTTTACCCGGGCCCGCTCACCATCATGAAGGTCCTTAATGATCGTGAGCAGAGGGTCAGGTACTCTAAAAGCACGAAGAACAACCCAGAGCCCAGGCCTATTGATGGTATCATAGGCCTTGACCAGGTCAATAAAGTAGAGATGTAGGTCTTGCTCGAATTCCCTACACCTCTGCTGTAGTAGACGGACAGAAAATATGGCATCTGTGCAGGACCGCCCTTTCCTGAAACCGCATTGGGGCTCCGCAAGCCTCTCCTCAGCGTGCCTGGCAAGGAGATATTGAATAATCCTTGCCAGGACCTTTCCCGGCACACTGAGGAGTGAGATGCCCCTCTAGTTGTTACAGTCTGTGCGGTCCCCCTTCTAAAAGAGGGGGATCACCAGCAGCACATCACACTGCACCACACACACTCCAATCTGCAGGACACTGCACCGCACACATAAACACACTCCAAACTGCAGCACACCGCACTGCACCGCACACACACACTCCACACTGCAGCACACCGGACACACACACACACTCCACACTGCAGCACACCGCACACACACACACACACACTCCACACTGCAGCACACCGGACACACACCCTCCACACTGCAGCACACCACACACACACACTCCACACTGCAGCACACCGCACACACACACACACACTCACTCCACACTGCAGCACACCGCACGCACACACACACACTCCACACTGCAGCACACCGCACACACACACACTCCACACTGCAGCACACCGCACACACACACACTCCACACTGCAGCACACCGGACACACACACACACACACTCCACACTGCAGCACACCGCACACACACACTCCACACTGCAGCACACCGGACACACACACACTCCACACTGCAGCACACCGCACACACACACACACTCCACACTGCAGCACACCGCACACACACACTCCACACTGCAGCACACCGCACACACACACACTCCACACTGCAGCACACCGCACACACACACTCCACACTGCAGCACACCGCGCACACACACACACTCCACACTGCAGCACACCGGACACACACACTCCACACTGCAGCACACCGCACACACACACACACACCGCACACACACCACACACACACACTCACTCCACACTGCAGCACACCGCACACACACACACACACACTCCACACTGCAGCACACCACACACACACTCACTCCACACTGCAGCACACCGCATGCACACACACACACTCCACACTGCAGCACACCGCACACACACACACACTCCACACTGCAGCACACACACACACACTCCACACTGCAGCACACCACACACACACACTCCACACTGCAGCACACCGCACACACACTCCACACTGCAGCACACCGCACACACACTCCACACTGCAGCACACCGCACACACACACACTCCACACTGTAGCACACCGCACACACACACACTCCACACTGCAGCACACCGCACACACACACACTCCACACTGCAGCACACCGCACACACACTCCACACTGCAGCACACCGCACACACACACACACTCCACACTGCAGAACACCGCACACACACACTCCACACTGCAGCACACCGCACACACACACTCCACACTGCAGCACACCACACACACACACTCCACACTGCAGCACACCGCACACACACTCCACACTGCAGCACACCGCACACACACACACTCCACACTGCAGCACACCACACACACACACTCCACACTGTAGCACACCGCACACACACACACTGCACACTGCAGCACACCGCACACACACTCCACACTGCAGCACACCGCACACACACTCCACACTGCAGCAGACCGCACACACACACACACTCCACACTGCAGCACACCGCACACACACACACTCCACACTGCAGCACACCACACACACACTCCACACTGTAGCACACCGCACACACACACACTCCACACTGCAGCACACCGCACACACACTCCACACTGCAGCACACCGTACACACACACTCCACACTGCAGCACACCGCACACACACACTCCACACTGCAGCACACCGCACACACACATACACACACACTCCACACTGCAGAACACCGCACACACACACACTCCACACTGCAGCACACCACACACACACACTCCACACTGCAGCACACACACACTCCACACTGCAGCACACCGCACACACACTCCACACTGCAGCACACACACACTCCACACTGCAGCACACACACACTCCACACTGCAGCACACTGCACACACACTCCACACTGCAGCACACCGCACACACACACACACTCCACACTGCAGCACACCACACACACACTCACTCTCCACTGCAGCACACCGCACGCACACACACACTCCACACTGCAGCACACCGCACACACACACACACTCCACACTGCAGCACACCGTACACACACACTCCACACTGCAGCACACCACACACACACACTCCACACTGCAGCACACCGCACACACACTCCACACTGCAGCACACCGCACACACACTCCACACTGCAGCACACCGCACACACACACACTCCACACTGCAGCACACCGCACACACACTCCACACTGCAGCACACCGCACACACACACACACACACACTCCACACTGCAGAACACCGCA